GAGTTACTCGATTTACATCCTTAATCTATCCGGTTTAGTGACTTAGTGATGTGTCTGAGTCTAAATCGGACAACCCTGTGTTCGATTTATCTTAATCCAGACATCTCTTTGTTCGGATTAGTAGTTGAAGGGTTTTTTCATCTCCTATAAATACTCGTTTGATTTTTTCATTTCACTTTTTACTGTTTTATTCTCATCGCACATCACTGTTCATCTTTGATATCGGACGATTTTTTACTCAAGATCTTCATCTTCTTCTTTGTTCTTAATCTGATTCTTGATTGTTCCTTATCAAACTAAGGTTCGAATACATAATCGACTTAATCATTTGGACTTAATTCATCTTTTGACTATTTGGACTTATCGTGTGAACTTGATCTTAAACTTGAACAATATAATAAATCGTTTTCTGTGATGAAGAACACTAAATCGTACATAATAAGAACTAAATCTAAATCTATCTTGCACTAAGGACTGTATTGATTTATAGATTTAGGAGTTTTTTGTCTGTGTAATCGGTTTTTGTCCGATTTGGTTTTAATCGATTTAGGTTTTTAATCGATTTACTCGTTTAATCGATTTAGTTTTAGTTTTGGTTTTGTTTTTTGTTTTGACTGGTTTAGTCATCGGAGACGGTGATCGGAGTTTACTCCGGTTAACCTTAACCGGTTTAGCTTTTCTTGTCCGGTTTAGAGTGTTAGGATATTTTTTTTGCTTTCATCCGGATTGTTAACCCGGGTGATTTTTTTTTTCATTTTTTTCTTTTAATTTTTTTCTCTAAGTTTTAGTTTAGTTATTTTTTTTTGTTTTGTTTTATTTTTAGTTAGAATTTTTTTTTATCTTTTAATTTTTTTAGTTAGTTTTTACATTTTTTTAGTCTTAAATTTTTCTTGTGTGTGAGTATTTTTTTAAAAAAAATTGTGTTTTTAATTTTTTTAATTTTTGTAATTTTTTTTATTTTGTGAATTTTTTTAGTTTTTTGAAGGAATTTCAAATTATTTTTGGTAAATCTAGTGTTAGGTTTATATCTGGTTTTGATATTGTGTTAGGTTTATTCATTTGCAGATCTAACATTCTGTATTTTTACAGGAAAATGGCTGATGAAAATCAACGATCTGACGAGGAATCTCATATCCCCTTTGTCAGATCAGATAAACTTAATAACCCACCCCAGCCAATAAACATATCCATCCCAGATGAATCCATTCTCCCATAATACCTTTACCTCGATATTAAGCTAAATAACCACCATTTTAACTTCGAAATGTCTTGTGAATATTGAATCATTCCTGAAATCCTTCAAGGACACCCTATTGCATATGCCCTATCAGCTACTGCAGAAGTCCTGATGGTTTACCTACAGCAGTTCTGGCACACCTTATCACTGTCAAAATATGGAGAGGGTGAGTGTTGAGCTCAAAATGAATAATATGCTCCTATCCCTGCCGAAACACTTAGTCGGGTACCTACATCTGCTATCGACATTCATTCGTTGAATATTGATATTGAAACAGACATAGCTAGCCCAGCTATGTAAATGCACACCCCCTAGCCACTCAGTTGCTTTTCAACAAGCAATTTTTTCATCTTCACACGGGGATAAAGCACATACTCATCTGCTTCTCACTTGGAGAATGTAGATATTGAAACTAGTAGGCCTCTGCCCCAGCCTACGACCTCAATTCAGTGCACCTCGAGTTTAGCGTCGATACACATAGGTACCCATGAGTCTAGAGCATCCGTTGCTCAATCCGCAGTTCTTTGTGAACTAGCCGGAACGATCCGAGTGGAGTCTGTAGACTTTCCACAAGGACATGTCGGAAGTCCTACCAGTGCTAATATTCTGCCAACATTGTTGTTACAACTGGCAATCTATGTGATCCAGGTGTTATTTTACCTGACTTTGTGGCAAGGGAATATTTGGATGGCGCTCTAAAGGTTGTCCAGGGCACTATGACAAATCAGATCCTAAATTTGAAGAGATTGTTGAAGGGAAAAGAGCAAGTAACTGAAGAACAACCGTCTGTGCCGTCACCACCGCCTACTGTATGCAAAGTTAATATCGAGTCAAAATCCTAATACGACGGACGCAGATCTGGTTGGGATCTTAAGACAGCAAGTTGATGAGAATCTTACCGTAAAGGCCTCAGAATTTCTAGCTTTCCAGGTCGTTGTAGCTACTAATTTCTCAAAAATTAGTACTATAATTGCTTCTAACACTCAAGCATTGTCTCTAATGCAAAAATCCATTGATGCCTTAACCGAAAGGGTATCAACTTTAGAAAATACTTGTCGAGCTTAGGCCACCACTTTGAAAAGAAGACATGATGATCAGAACGATCCTGATCACCATGAGGGGGAGAGGAAAGACAAAGGCTGGCTGAGTCGTCATTTGGTGCAGAAGGTGTTGCTGGGGAGCTAGAGTCTGAAAATGTTATTGAAGAAAGTCCAGTTACAGTAAGTACAAGAGAACGGACTACTGGCCAGGAATCAGCTAAGAAGGTGACAGCTGTGGAGACAAATCCTGTGATCGAGCCAATGGTTGAAAAGCCAGCGGACTCCACTATAGAAACAAGGCTGTTATTGGATTTGTCTACCAATGTTGGATTCAATGATGTTGATAATATTAATGAGTCTGTGGACATCTACTTTGACTTTGAAACATACATCAATGAAGATGATCCTATTTTTCCGTTTCAGGCTGATCATCAAACTACTTCTGAACCTCCCACCACAGTTTCTCAAGGAGCTTTTAATACCTCTAAGATGGCATTTGATCCTACAGAGATCTTTTCTAAAAATTATGTGCCATTTGCAATTCGAGCTAATGTTCCAGGTTTTGACAGAGCTCGGATTAGAGAACCTTTTCTTGAAGATATCTATTTTGGCATTTTTATTTGTCACCGAAAAGCTTTAAGTGGTGACAGAATCCTTGGGATTCATAAAGAGACTCGAGAATATCGTACTGAATACAAGCACTTTCTGAAAGCCAAGCGCCTACCAATTAGTTAAGTACGAACCAGACATCACATCGTGTCTATCAAGAATATTGATGCCAATAAACTCGTAAGAGTTTGGTATCCTGTTTTCACTATTACAAGACAAGATGGACACATCTAGACGTTTAGCGAAGTTAACTTCCAAAATCTTTACCTTTAAGATCTGGAGCATCTTTACCATGAACTTCGAGATCTTACTGTCAGAAGAGAAGGAGAAGTCATTGGTCTAGAAGCTATAAAGAGATACTTGAAGAGTCATGTTAAGTTGTCATTGGTCATTGATGTTCAAATGGGCTTTAAAGGTAATCAGAAGATTATAAACGTGAAAAGACCTGATTAAGACATTGAAGACATTGAAGGTTATCCTCTATTTATTATTCTTGAAGATCCGGAGTTTGGGGTAATATATGATGGTTTAGACAGGGCTAAGAGATTTATGAGGTTTAGTGAGCTGAATAAGTACTGTGACAGTACTATCAAGCTGGTGCGAAGGGCTCTTGTGAGAATTAAAGCTGACAATGATAAAGCTGTAGAAAATGAAAGAATGAGTCTTAGAGAAAGGTATCTTCTGATCAGTGCATTCCTGTTGGATGATAAATTGCAGTATCGGAGTGCATTGAGAAGAATCGAGACTCACTTGGGCCTTAGAAAGTCAAGATTTACTATTTCTCGTGCTTGAATCCAAAGGGGGGGAATGTTGGGTTCAATGTTGTGCATTAATGTTGTATTCAAGCATGTTTCTCCTATTTTGTAATAGTTTAGTCTTTAATGCTTTCCTAGTATTAATAGGATGATTAGTGTTGTAATTAGTGTTGAGCTAATCACTTTTGTAATCATTACAAGATTTAATACCATACACTTGGGTGAAATTCTCTCTCTAGATCGATCATATACTTGATTAGAGATTATCTGATTTTAGTGATAATTTGGGAATTACAATAAGGAAGATGATGATAAAGACGATGACAATGAAGATGATGATTCTCCCACCCTTCCTAATGCTGGAAAGGATCTTGGTGATGATGATGATGACGATGATGATGACGACTTCACCGTCAGTACCAGAAACATGCCAGTGCCGTGAAAGGAGTCTCTCTCAGGGATTTTGCATCCTAGGGGGAAAAAGAGAAAGAAAAAGAGAAGGAGACCTCCGAGAAGTACCAGAACACCAAATCAAAAGACAATGGTGTTGCTGAAGAAGGAAACCAACATGGTACTCTTCAAACATGTTGAGCCTTTAAGTATTGAATCCTCCAGGTTTGCCATCGTTACTTCTTTTGGTCAACTTTCTTCCATCCCTTCTACTACCTGTGGTCGACTAGAGGAATGGGTATCTGAAAACCCAACCTCCAGCGTTCCTACCGACCAATAGATGTCTCAGTTGAAGGAGTCACTCGACCAAACTAGAGTAAAAATCCCTCTTCGTGCCTCAAGTTGTGGTGAGTTTGACTTCCTGTCTAAAGCTGAAAGACTCGAGGCACTCAAGGTTGAGAAAGAACTCAAACTCCAACGACAATAGACTGAGGACAGCATAAAGCTGGCCAAGTCTCTTGCTGCTCAAGTTCTTTCGAAGAAAAAGTCTTGGCATAAACTAAATTCAATAGAGATGAAAATTAGAAGTTTATCAGTCAAAACCTTTGACTAATAAAATTATGATTTTCAAATTATTGAATCAATTTTATAAAAAATTCAGATTTTCAGATTTAGCATTCCTAACTTAGATATTAAAAAGCTAATGTTTTTTCATCTAAAGCTTTTGTAAATAAGTCAGCTACCTGATATTATGTGTTTACAAAATACAGTTCAATAGTTCCTTTTTCAACGTGATATTGAATAAAATGATACCGGATATCTATATGTGTTGTTTTGATGTGTTGAATAGGATTACAAGGAAATAGCAATTGCACTTTCCGAATCACAATAAATTGGAAAATTTTTCGAAACACAATAAATTGGAATTTTATCATAAGAAAAACTGTAATCTTTGAGTTGTGTGCGCATCTAGATAACTTGAGAACAACAGCTAGCAGCAGCTACGTATTCTACTTCAGCAGTAGAAGTGGACACATAATTTTGCTTCTTTGATGCCCAACTTACCAGTTTATCTCTTAAGAATTGAACATGACCCGAAGTGAATTTCCTGTCCAACATACACCCTGCATAATTTGTATTTGAGTAAGCAGTCAATTCAAAACCAATACCTTTAGGATACCAAAGTCCTAGATTAGCACTCCCTTTAAGATAACAAAAAATATGTTTAACTGCACTAAGATGGACTCTTTTGGATTTGTCTGATATAGCACAAAGATGTGTTCGGAAAATAATATCAGGTCTACAATAAGTTAAATTCATCAAAGAACCACTCATGCCTTGGTCGGTTTTCTGATCTACTGCTTTATTCGAAGGATCAGCATGTAGTTTTGAACCAGGAGCCATAGGTGTTTCGATAGATGAACAGTTTTCCATATTACACTTCTTTAGGATATCATAAATATATTTTGTTTGACAGATAAAAAAACCTGAAGATAGTTGTTTAACTTGCAAACCTAAAAAGAAGTTCATCTCGCCCATCATGCTCATTTTAAATCTTAAAACCATCAAGGCAGAAAAATTCTTACAATATTTAGGCTTTGTAGATCCAAATACTATATCATCAACATAAATTTGTATCAAGGTAATTTCAGACTTTTTCTATTTAACAAAGAGAGTTGTGTCAATAATAGCTTTTGAGAAACTTGACTTCACAAGAAATTCAGATAAAATATAATACCAGTCTCTCAGGGTTTGTTTTAAACCATACAAGGCTCTGTTAAGGATGTAGACTCGTCAAAAAAATCTTTCCGGCTGAGAAACATGCACTTCTTCTTTGAGAAGACCATATAGGAATGTTGTTTTGACGTCCATTTGAAATATAGTAAAGTTGTTATGTGCCGCAAACGCCAAAAACATTCTTATGGCTTCTATTCTAGCCATCGGAGAAAATGTTTGATCATAGTCTACACCCTCTTGTTGATTGTATCCTTTTGCTACCAACTGAGCCTTGTTTCTGACAATAACACCATCTTCATCTTTCTTATTTTTAAAGACCTACTTTGTGCCGATAATCGTCTCGTTTTTAGAACGTGGAACTAATCTCCAAACTTTTAAGGTTTCAAATTGATTGAGTTCCTCTTGCATTGTGGTTATCCAATCCGGATCCACTAAGGCTTGAGATACCTTAGTCGATTCAATATTGCTCAAAAATGTAGAGTACAAACACTCATTTGCAGTTGCAGACCTTGTACATACGGATGAATTAGGATTTCCAATAATTTGAATTATCGGATGATCCTTAGTCTACTTACTACTATGATATAGGGGAATGTATGAAGATTGATCAGAATTTTGATCCATGTAAGTATTGGGGGAATTGCTTTAAACATGTTCATATGAAGGTTCAATATTTTGAGTTGAAACAGGCTGATTATGTGACGGAGGCTGTAAGTTTTCATCTTGTACGACTGAAAACTCTGGAAAATTATTATTCATACCCTTTTCACATGAAACATGACAACCTTGTTCTTCCATTATTATCTCTTCATCAATCTCTTTAGAAACAATAACTGGTATATCAACAGATGGGCCGGATATCTGTTATTCAGATTGAACTTGATTATTTTCCCTGGATAAAATATTTGAATCATTAGATTGAATTCCAAAATATTCATCATAAAAAATTTCAAACAATAAATCCAAATCAGAAATATTTTGAGTAGAAGAAGAAGCTTCCTTTGGATTTGCATTCCGCGAAAATTTATTTGTCAGCACGGGTGTTGGGTTCAAGATTAGAGCTTAAAAGTTGTATTCAAGTTTCTCCTTAGAATAGTTTTATTTGTAATATTTTAGTCTTTACTTTCCTAGTATAAATAGGAATTCCCTTGTAATTGTAATTAGTGTTTTTGTCATTAACACAGAAATCAAGATTTGGCTGATGTAATTCTCTCTCTCTCTCCCCTAATCATTACTTACATCATTCTTAGTGTTCTTATCAATCTATGAAGATCGTATCAAGATTTGTATGAAATATGGACTCCACAATTGGTATCAAAGCAAGCTGCAGCAGTTTGGATTTGAAGATATCCATTTTACACATTTTGCACGAATTTTTTAATATTTTTCGATCTGATTCATCACTGTTCTTGATTTTTTTCTGACCGGATTGGTTTTTGTGCCAAAACTGTTTAATCTTTGAGTGTTATTGTTCAAAATTGGTATCGTGAGTTTCGGTTTTGCATTCTAAACAACTTTGATTCACACCGTTTTGTGTTTTACACAAGTTTTAAGGCTGAAATTGCCCAAAATCGTTTTTTGGTTTTCTGGAAAAAGTTCATAAAAAACTCATATTTTTCATGTTTTGATCCATTTTTTT